ATAAGTAGAAGTATGTAATTAATTAAAGCATGTAATTATTGCATATCTTATTGCAATTTTATTGAAATTTTAATTTATATTTTTTAAACTTAAAGTTTATTAAACTTTTTTTATTTAATAGATACAACTTCGTATCAACTTTCGCATGGTACGGATTGTAAGAAAAAATATTAAGTATACAGCATTGCATATTTCTTGTTTTTCTCTTGCTATGTAGAAAGTAAGTATATATAAAAGTAGTAAAGTACGGTGATCCTTATCAGTCTAGAAAAATTTTCTCTATAAATTCGTGCATTCTGAGCATGTTTATTATTCTGTCGTTTATCATCCAGCCCGTTCCTGTCATGGAATTAAGTGTCCATGGGAACGCTTCGAGCATCTTATAACGATTAATCTTCTCAAGTTACGAATAATAATGAAAGTGTAACAAGAGTGTAAAGAGAGCGTAATAGTATTACTAATCGCAGGTAAGATCACAGTCGAGACCAAGCGTCGTCATCAAAAGAGACTATTATTGCTATGAGCAATCATTAAAAATATTATTTCAACACGAATTTTTAACAGAAATTTGTAGATTGTAATAAAATAGAAGGATGCATTCTGCATGATAGTAAGCTGTTATTTTTATTTCTGACGAAAAATTTACGTGCAATTCAAAACTACAGATTTGTGCTTTCGTTACATTTCACGACTGCTTATCTGAAGATAATTAATTTTTTATTAAGTCCGATCTACACTAAGACGCAGAATACAAGTCGCAGGTCGTAAGCTTGTTGCGTCAGCCAATCTCGAAGCGTCACTTTTAAAATTGATGCATCGGATTGACTGACGCGCAATAAATTTGCGACCTGCGTTCTTATGTAAATAACGTTTTTTTAAAGAAGAAAATTAATAATTGCTCTATCTATTCGTGTTCTCAAAACAACATTCATTTACTAATATAATATTTACTTACTTCAGCTTGACATAATAATTTTGAACAAAATATTTAAATATTGACCATTAAATAAAGTTATTTGAAAATTATTTGTAACAATAATCTTATATCAACAAAATTATTGTTTTGGAGAAAAATAAAATGTACATTCTCTATCTTATAGCGTTTTTCACTGAAAAATTCATGCAATATTAATATTTTCAATGTCAATAGCTTCTTTAATTACATATTCTTTGTTATCACAATAATTTACCACTTTAAAAGGATTAAATTATTTATTAACACTGCAAGTGTGTAAACCGATTTGTACTAAATTGCACTAGCATTATATTAGTTTTCTCAGTGGAAACCGCCATTAATATTGACGTCAAAATAGTATGATATTAAACAAGATTAATTAATTCCTAAATTGATTAAGATTAATTGTTCAACTTTTCGTGATAAAAAGAAAAATATCTGTACTATCGAGATTGTAGAATCGAGATTGCAAAAGCGTGCATTAGAATAGAGAAATTCAGTCAGGATCCATTCAATTTAGAGAATTAATTAATGACTACGAAGCATACCTGATGATTGAAAAAGTCTGCATATTATGTTCAAAATAAGCAAGTCATAAATGATATAACAAAATTTTTCACGTGATACTAAATTACATACTACTTTAATAATAATTCTTATTTTAAGATACTGATACTCGGAAAGAAAAATAACATTTCGCCGTAATATTTCCAGTATATTCAAGTGCGTCTTTTGATTCGATTTTCGATTAAGAGACACACACAAGCAATGAGTACATGTATACGCTTTCGAGTAGGGGCGTACGTATACAGGCTAGAAAGTAATTTGAAAGAAAAAAAAGGGGGTAACTGATGATGATGTGGTAGCTGTGTGAGGTTTTGCACGTGAGAGTATTGGCGGCGTGCCATAGAAACGGACTGACCCACTTTTAACGCGTAGATTGACCTGCCTGGCGCCATTTTAACTTCGAGCCATCGAATAGTCGCCATCCTTGATTTCAGTCTTTCCAGGTCGCCGCGAATGAATTGTTAACCCTAAAAGAGATCTGGTATTTTCTGATAATTTTGAGCACAGTGCAATTAGGACGGAAAAAAGGGATATGCAGAGATTACCAATTAAAATTTCATCTTTAAAATTTTTACTCTTCGAATTTAGTACCCTTCACGATTTTAATTAGAAAAAATTTATTTAATAGAAAAAATTAATTTGCAATCCTTATTTAATTTGATATTGTATGAATATATTAAATCATTTAAGTTGCAACACTTCTGTAATTAACGCAATCAATACTAGAAAAATGCCTATTACGGTCGAAGTTGGATTCTTCATTGCTTTTAAATAATTCAATCTTGAATTACTAATATACACTATATGTATTTGCATATATTGTAGTCTTTTTAGAACTGCGCGCCGAATTTTTTCGGACTATGAACGCAATTAAAACTACTCTAGTAATCGCGAATTAAATTGACAAGCAATTTAATAATTTGATGCTACAATCATATTATAAAGATGTTGAAATTGTTAATAAATTTATTACGGAAAATATTACCCCGGGACTTGAATCTTCGGATCTCTTGTATTCCGTACGAGCATCTTAAGCCATTAGACCACCGAGGTTTTAGTAATAATCGATACAATTCTTCGCAATAATCGGTACAATAAGGAAACTTCTGTAATTGATTAAATTACATTTGATAAAATTATCTTGGAGAAATATATTTAATTGTTTATTCGATTACGAAAGAGAGTACTTCATGGAGCGTCGAGTGGTTTATTGCTCAGTAAATCCGGGTTTGATTCCACCTGCACCCATGTAAGCAATTTTTCGCGTTAAAGAGTCGAAAATGATTCCATTTGGGTATCGATTATGTAATTTTTTTTCTAGAGCGTGAAAACATGAAAAGTGACATTTTTTTATGTATGTATAAACACACACACACATACAAAAAATTTTCACTTTCCATGTTTTCATCCTAGAAAAAACGTTATGATTGATACTCTGGTGATTATGAGATCTTTGATCACTAGAATTAAACTGTAAGTCCCATATATCACGTTCATATAAGTCACCACAACGCGGTTGACAAAATTCGTGTCTCTCACAAACAGAGGACCTATATTTTATTTCTTCTCCACAATTTTCGTTCCCACAAAATTTAATATTTCTTTTGATACACCAGTCGTCTAAATTTTTTGTAACTTCTATGTCGTCGTTGGCGAAATACACTCTGAGAATGAATACGAAAGAGAAAAATATAAAGACTTTTATGTTTGCACTCGTTTTATAAATTATTATATATAAGTCTTCCTAAATATAT